AATATATCTTTCTCAAAGCAATGAATAATTTATAACATCTTGACTTTAGCAATGAATAAAAAAAATAATAAACCGTTAAAATATCTCTGAAGGGATTTTTTTTATTCGTTGTTACATGTACTTGTGATAGAAGTATCAGACTTGTGGCAAAAGTGAGTAAAAGTTTTTAAAAAAAAATTACTTTTCATGCAAGAAAATGTTAACATGCCAAAATTGACAATCTGTGCAAATATTTCGTGATGGCAGGCTGAAAAGTGCGTGCGTGTGTGGGAAAAGAGGAGGGGGGGTTCTAATACAGTATAGAATAAAATCTCTAATATATTATTCATACGCATGATTTTATTGATACCCGAAAACCGAAAAATAGGAGCTGTATTAATTTTTTACTGTTTACTTTGTTACAAAGACCTAACCACCTCATAGATGATGACGAAAGAAATGACGTCACTTAGTTTACAAATAAACATGAACGTATTTTGGATTCACTGGGATCACATTTGGGATTTCTATTCTGATTTGATTTAAAGAAGCATCTTTATACCTATAATTTTGTTTACAAGGTAGGTGATGTATATGTCATTCCGAATGTCTTATTGTCTATATTGAAGGTTCGACAGACCGTCCATTATTTTCTTTTTAAAACGGTATCATTTCCGAATTTCCTCGTCCAGAATGTGCAGTGAAAAAGGCTCACAAAAGGCACCGATTCTTCTCCTTCTGCCAAGCGGGCAAAACATAAAGTAGGCCGCCATACTTAATGACCACTTAATGACCACTTAATGAAGCCCCCTTAATACCTTCATTAAAATTGAGGAATTTAATGACGGTTTAATGCACCGATTCGTTCATTAAAACTTTGATACAACGGAATTTAATGTAACATTAAAAATAAACAGTTTAATGAAGCTTTAATCATTCATTAAATGTTGATACAACCGGGTCCGGGCGTTTTGATATCATTGATATGTAAATCTAGGTATGGGTACCACTCGCGCCCCGTTTTTAGCAAATCTATTTTCGTATTCATATGAAGCAGAATTTGTCAAAAATCTTATACTTGAAAAGAAGAAAACACTTGCTGTGGCCTTCAACTCGACATTTAGATGTAAGAGTGGAAATAGCCATTGTTAGTTGATAAAACGTCGTCGATCATATGTTGATACGATAGTCATATTTGGATATTATACTTGAAAAAGACGCTAATGGTAATCTAAAAATGTGAAGACTTAAACTTTTCAATTAACTTCCCTTACTCATGCAGCAATGTACCTTCATCACCTGCTTACACTTGTACAATTTCTAAAACGAAGTAAAGTCTTGACAAACAAGTTTATGAAGCAAGAATATCAGCAGTCTCATTTCACCGTTTCGTAAGTTCTTTGGTCGATACAAAGAACTTGTCAGCAAATACAATTTATCATTGAGTCATGCTCATGCTGACAGACGTTTTTCATATTTATTGTTAGTCCTTTACTTGCACACTGGACTGACTACGGATTTTCCCGTTATTTCCCGATCATGGCAAGGAGCGAGTGTGACCGGCCAGCCGGATTTTCTCGTTATTTCCCGATCATGGCAAGGAGCGAGTGTGACAGGCCAGCCGGATTTTCTCGTTATTTCCCGATCATGGCAAGGAGCGAGTGTGACCGGTCAGCAGGGGATGTTCACTCCTCCATGGCACCTGATCCCACCTCTGATGTTTTGAAGGTCCGTGTTTGCTCTGCTCCTATTTTGTACTGTTTTATAGACTTTTGATATTGAATACTGTTTGCTATCTCCACATATTTTATATACTAGTATATGAATTATGTCTTGCCTCGCAAACCCAAAAACAGCAACAAAAAAGTAAAATATTTAGTTTTTTGTATATTTCATGACGTCACAATCAAAGCCTCACGTTACATTGATCATGACGTCACAATTTGTTAACTTCACAATGCACTTATTGTGACGTTTACCTATTTGTTATTCTTGGAGATAAAAAGGAGGAAAGTTGTAATATGAAAGGAAATATCGCATTGAGTTTTATATTTGCCTTGCCCTTCTGCATATGTGCACCACTTCCGCACAGCACAACCTATCACGATCATCAATTGAGAGAGCCAATTCAGTCGTTCGGTTTGTCAACAAAGAACATTTTTATATTTGCTGGCATTCTGATATGTTGTAGCGTGGCCGCATTCCTTGGATGCAAAATGTCCGGATTCACCAATGCAGATCATGAATCAGAGAAACCAGATAACTCTGAAGCGGCTAGCAGTGCTCAACAATACCACTTCCAAGTGTGGACAAAGAAAATGATGAAGGAGGAGGAGTTATCCACTGAAGAATGTGATCCTGTATCAGTCATTTCCCAAACTTCGTCTATTTATGACAATCCGAGGATTGTTACTGTGTTGGAGTGCCCAGGTCTGTATGCAGTGTGTGGTTTGGAGAAGGATGAGAAGATCGTCGTGGACAATCCAATGTTCACCGAGCAGTAGGCAGCCACCAAATCACTACAGCCAAGTCAGAGAAATCCAAAGAAAATACCGTGTACTGTATTTGAAATTTTCCAGTGATATCGGTGTAATATACAGATGAAAACTTTATTTGTAACCATGCAGAGCAACAATTTAGCTTCAGTTAGAGAAACATTTGCAGCAACAAAAAATCCTTATTACTGGATTTTCTGAAAGTATCATCCAACAAACAAAACTTTTTGCAGTTCACTCTTAGGATGGATGAGGATTAGGCAACAACCACCATGCAATATCTGCCACCATCACCAGCATCCATGTAACAAAAATCCAAGAATAGTGTACAGTGTATTCGCAGTGGTTTAATTAACTTGTTTTAAGAAAAGATGTTTGAATTGCTTTTGTGATATCCGTGTGATCCAGATAAAATATTTATTTATAACCAGAACACACTATATATATATATACGTTTATAAAACATAACCATTTACAGCAAGAGAACCATCCTTACTGGACTTCGTGAAAGTATCAACATATAATGTTTCCTTTTGTACAGGCCTGTCTTTGGATGGGTGTATTATTGCTCCTTCTTTTGATTAGATATCATGAATTAAAATAAAATGTACTTGCAATTTTAAACTGTTTGGTTGTTATTTCATGTACATATAGACCGGTGAAAAAATTATTACGGAAACAAGTGTCTAATGCTTAAAGCCTCTTGATGTTGAAATAGAAATTTTATTTGTCACCTGAGGGCCCTTAATTGCCGAATAAACATATATTTTATGAATAATTACTGTGTCTTGTCTCGCCAGCTCACATAGAACAAAAAGCATTTCATATTTTTAAAACATGTTTGTTTCAGATTGTCTGTTATTTAACGTCCCTTGAGAATTTTTCACCCAGACACCACCACTTGCCTGCGGAGAGCTGCAAATCATATACCTATCCTCGGCACTCAGGTTCCTATACCTATACTCGGCACTCAGATTCGTTGATCAGTGAGGGATCTTTTTTTTCGTGCCAGCGCTTACTGCGACATGAGACCTTGGTTTACACGGTCTCATCCAATGGACCGGTTTCTACGTCCATAATAGTGGGATTCGAACCCACGACGTAAGGATCAACTTCTTACTTCGCGACTCGGTTAACTTTTGTTAAGCTGAGAGCACTGAGCTCATTAAATGATATCCCCGCCTCCCACATGATTATAATAGCAAGTCTATAGACCCAAAATGAGTGTCAGATCAAAAAGTAACATAGGATGTGTACATTGGCATTATGTTATAAAAAATCTGTGAAAGTATCATTAAATTTTATACAGAGGATCAAGAGGAGTTGCGGAAAAGGGATGGTCTCCCTTCAATTTTATATAAAGAATGGATTGTCCATGTTTTGCTATGGGAAACCCAAAATATGTGTCGGCCTCAAAAATTTCTTCACATCTTTTGATTGGTCATTAGCAAAATTATTTTGTTAAAAACCACTCTGATTGTACACATAATTTTTCTGAGGTTGATGTTTTCAAAATTGATGGATGCTAGAGTTCCACAACGATAATATATATGTACAGTCAGTGTACAGTAGTCTTCGGTGACCAAGTTGGAATTCCGATAGCCTCCTCTATAAGCTGTCCTGTTTTTTAAATTATATGAAGCAGGATTTATTTTAAAACTTCTACATAAGAAGATGAAAACACTTTTGTGGCCTTCAATTCGATATTTCAGTGTTACTGAACTTGCTGACTTGAACGAGTTGGCTATGCAAATGCACGAGTATTTGTAAAGCCAGCAAGTGCCAACATTCACCAATTTAAGTTCAATAACTCCTTTATCATATAGCTAAAACATCTACCATTGAATTATATTAATTATTTTAATCAAATAATTCAAATTGATATATTTTTTTCTGCATCGGTTTATAAAAAAAATTAATTCAAAGCAATTGCTATGCCTAAGTTTTTATACTGAATTTGACAACGGAAAGTTCCGTGGACCTGATCAGTATATAGAGTTAACGGCGGATATTACTGGTCGACATGGGATGTTTACTCGTACTAGGCACCTGATCCCACCTCTGGATTTCCAGGGGACGTGTTTGGTGTCCCTTTTTCTATATTTGTATTTTTTTTAATACATGTAGATCATTTTCGAGATCAATCTGTGTTCGTTATCTTCACCTTTTATGAAGTATGAAGATATGCATGAAGGTTTTCATTGATATATGAATTATTTTGAAGTTGATTGGTTGAAAAGAGGGAGTTTCAAACACAAAGGTATTAATTTGCGCCTTAAAATTGTTTATGTGACTTGTGCAAACAGCCATATTTACAAACTCTCAGTATATTATTTAGACTCAACAACATTTCCATGCATCATAATTATAAAGGTATTGATCATAAAATATTTTTTATCAGAAAACTTTTAATCAAAATTGTTTATTTAATATTTTTTATAAGGGCCAATAAATCAAGGCTTATATATCTGTTTACACTAATCTAGAACATTTAATCCAAGCATTGCACTTTGGGAAATATTTTTTGTGATTTAAATGTCTGCTCTGTTTCCCAATAAGAATTAATTTTTTTATGAATAGATTGATTGTTATGTTCGAGGAGTTCAGTCCATTTTAAAACCCATTCTCACTATTACCGTATATGCATGTATATAACAGTATAGAGTAAAAGAACGTAAAACATCCACAGATCAATGACAGGTTAGGTCTGTGATATGGATAATTAGATTGATATTGGACCATTTTTCAGAAAGGTATTCCGCGTTTCGAAGATGGGTAAAAACAACAGCAAACTGCAGCCAGGAACAATCGAGGAACTTAGTAAACAAACCGAGTTCTCAGAACAAGAGCTGCAACAATGGTACAAAGATTTCATGAATGACTTCCCAAAAGGTTATGTAAAGCTGCACGAATTTGAGAAGATGTACGAAGGATTTTTCCCTAATGGAGATGCATCCAAGTTTGCCAGACACGTTTTTCATGCGTTTGATCAAAATGGTGATGGGCACATTGATTTCAAAGAGTTTGTGTGTGGGTTAAACGCCACACTTCGAGGAACAATAGAACAGAAGCTGAAATGGGCTTTCAGGGTATACGATATTCATGAGGACGGGTTTATTTCTAAGGATGAAATGAAGGATATTATCTCAGTAAGTAAAAGACAGCCCTCCTATAAGGTTTCCATTAAGAACTTTCTGGTAAAAATAATGTGTGTTTTAAACTGTTCTTGCAATAATCATTTGTATTTGATAATTTTTAAAAACATATAGGCCTAAATATTTTAATTTCTCTTTCTTTCAAAGCCACAAAAAGTAACAAAGACACTAGCATTTACATCACCAGATTCCGATAATCTGAGGGGGTTAAAAACGGGTTGTTGGTTTCAAAAACATCTACCTTATTCTGATTCCAGGCTATTCATAAAGTAACTGGCAATACGAGGGACGCTGGTAAACAGAAGACCTTACAAGAGGAGATAGACGAAGTGTTCCAGAGGATGGACAAAAACGCCGACCAGAAAATCTCCCTCAAAGAATTCGTGGAAAACGCGGCCAGGGACCCGGGCTTAGTATCGTTACTTGAACTCCACCAGACCACTGACAAGTGTTCTAAATAAGGCAGAGGAGAACTGATCTAAAATGTAAAAATGACCCACAGGTGCAAAGATTCCAATGATATCATCATTCCTGATGTAAAAACTAAATGTCGTATACCAGGGAAAAGGCAGATTGATTGTAATCTTGCTTGGAATCAATATGGAAGCCTATTTTCAATATTGTAAGCAGACATCAGAATTACAAAGATCATCATTAATAAAGTTCTTTGTATCACACAGAATTACCTATCTGTCATATGTTCTATGACAGCCATACAACCACCCGGGTATTGATTATATGTTATAGTTATTTCAGATATAGCAGCCTGATTATACTTATCATTGATAATGATCCTGTTCCTGGATCAATAATACAGGCAGCATCAGAAGGTGGATAGTTTTTAATTTTTCTAACTAATTAATTATTGTTAATTCCGCAAACAGATACTAGTGTTGTAAACAATCGAGTATATTTGTAGTCTGGATACAAATACGAGTATTTTGCTATATTTTTTACTCGTGCCTTGAGTAATGGAAAACTTAAACCAAATCGAATCGATATTTTATGTTTTATTAAATACTATAGTCTATTAACTTATTAAATATGAGAAAGAGTATCTTATATTCCTTACCAATAAGCCAGCATCAGCGCAGTCTAGAAAACAAAAAAGCAGAAGTCTCTGTCGAGTGTGAAGCTCTACTGGTTTGTACTTATAACAAATGAAGACAAAAGTACCATTTGGGACTTGAAACTTTACAACAGCAATGAATAGAAAAATGATTCTAGATGGAGCTCTTTTTGTGGCAAGATACTGCAATAAGACTACAGCTGTAGGAGTAGCTATTAATAAACTTTTAGAGTATTTTCAATTATAGTAACCATGCCAACATCATTCATCGAAATCAAAAATCAATACACAGAATTATGTATCTTATTATAGTCTACTTGTGTGCCAAGTTATATTGAAATCAGACCAAAACTGTAGGAGGAGCATTTTGAAAGTATTTCACAGAAATTTCTATTTTTAGTAACCACGGCAACACCGTTCATCGAAATCAAAAATCGATATAGAGAATTAGCCTATTTGTGTGAAAAGTTATATTGAAATCAGACCAAAACTGTAGGAGGATTAGCATTTTGAAAGTATTTCACAGAAATTTCTATTTTTAGTAACCACGATAACACCGTTCATCGAAATCAAAAATCGATACACAGAATTATGTATCTTAGTGTAGTCTACGTGTGCGCCAAGTTATACTGAAATGAGACCAAACCTGAAGGAGGAGTAGCATTTTGAAAAATTGTTTACAGACAGACAGACGGACGGACGCCGGACGAATTACTATCGCATAAGCTCTTCTGGTCTCTGACCAGTAGAGCTAAAAATCACAGAAAAAAAATTTGGAAACAATACGGAGAGAAAAAAAAAACATTCTCTTTCGTTGAAAAGTGTCGACAACGAAAGTTTACTCCTTCATGGCACTTAGCCTCACCTCTGACTTTTTTAAGGTGTACACGTTTGCTTTGCTCCTGATTAATGCTATTTCAATGGAGTTTTGAGCTTGAGTTACTTTTCTCTATCAAGTTTTTTCATTTCCACCATATATTTTGATCGTCCATTGAGGTCCCACCATACACCGCGGGTCATGATCTGATATGCTGTACATGTACTAGCAGTAGCTTTCACATAAACTTGCACTTTTCTGTCCAGTAGTTTTTGAGAAGATTTCATAAAGATGCTGTTATTTTTTAGCTCTACTGGTCAGAGACCAGAAGAGGCTATGCGATAGTAAGGTGTCCGTCGTCCGCCTGTTTGTCTGTCCGTCTGTCTGTAAACAATTTTTCAAAATGCTACTCCTGCCACAGTTTTTGGCTGATTTCAATATAACTTGGCACACAAGTAGACTACACTAAGATACATAATTCAGTGCATCGGTTTTTGATTTCGATGAACGATGTTGCCATGGTTATTAAAAATCGAAATTTCTGTGAAATTTATTTAAAAGCTACTCCTCATAGAGTTTTGGTCTGATCTCAATAAAATCTTACACACAAGTAGACTACACTAAGATACAAAATTTTTTGCATCGGTTTTTGATTTTGATGAACGGTGTTGCCATAGTTACTAAAATTAGAATTTTCTGTGAAATTCATTTAAAACACTACTCCAGGGACGTAGCAACAGGGGGGGGGGCTTTGCTCTCCCCCACTCTGTTGCTGCCCCCCCCCACTTTCAAAATCGATGCTACGGTCCCGTACTCCTCGTACAGTTTTGGTCTGATCTCAATAGAATTTGTCACACAAGTAGACTACACTAAGATACATAATTTAGTGCATTGGATTTTGATTTAGAAGAACGGTGTTGCCATGGTTACTAAAATTACAAACTTCGGTGAACTTCCTTTAAAATGCTTCTCTTCCTACAGTTTTGGTCTGATTTCAATATAACTTGGCACACGAGTAGACTACACTAAGATACGATACATAATTTAGTGCATCGGTTTTTGATTTCGATGAGCGTTGTTGCAATGGTTACTAAAAATAGAAATTTATAAAAGCTACTCCTCCTACAGTTTTGGTCTGATTTCAATATAACTTGGCACACAAGTAGATTACACTAAGATACATAATTTAGTGCATGATGTTTTTTATTTCGATGAACGATGTTGCCATGGTTACTAAAAATAGAAATTTCTGTGATATTTCTTTAAAACGTTACTCCTCCTACAGATTTTGTCTGATGGCAATGGCTTCTTTTCTCTTCCTTTGTTATAAGTACAAACCAGTAGAGCTACTGTTTCGACAGAGACTTCTGGTTTACCCTTAAATAGTTCTCCTTGGGAGGGCATGACACCTCATTTTTAAGTATAGGCCGATTATGCACCTTCGTGGCTTTACTTCTTTGACACCCCTTCACCTAAGGATGCTCTTTGTAAAGTTCGGATAATTTTAGCTTTAAAGAAGATGATAAAATGTGAAAAGTTTAAGACAACAACGGACAAACTTTAATCAGATGACCTCACTTGAGTCTTTTGCTCGGGCGAACTTACAAATTTAAAATTATAAAATTCTCAATGTGTACTGAACAAAGTTATGAATCAAGTGAGTACTACAGTTGTACATTCACACTGTACGTGTATTTTGTAGTACCTGTATAGGTATGGAACATGTAAATCCACCATTTCCAATTTTCTATTCAGATCTATTTGGTGAAAGTTGAAGACAAAAATAAAACCACTGAACCAAATAAACTAAATGATAATAAGCACTGGGCTGCAGTCAACTGTATAGTTAAGACGTTATGGCAAGGGCTTTCCTTAGCTACCATTAATTTTGACCTTAACCTAAGGATCCATTTTTTTTATAAACATTAACCTTGACCATTTTTTTAATGATTCGGGGGGTTGGGCTTTCATATTTCACATGTATATTCATTGAAACCAGTCCTTTCTTTGGGTAACGACAAATTTGATCTTTTGATCTTGTTTTGGAGTTTATCTTATATTTGAGAAACTATTTATAATATCTTCGTAAAAATTAAGCTGTCGTATGGGGGCATCAGACTGGTGTTTTAAAAACACAACTTGTTTATTTAAAATCGAGGAAAGAAATGGTATCCTGCTACAATCTCCTTTATTTCTTTAACATTATTTTTTTTTATACTTTCCATCCCTTAAAACTAGACCATATTTCATGAAGATAGTCTGCAGCTGTGGTGCGAATGTTTATGATGTCCCCAATTTTCAAGAGTAGTGGAACTGTATTTGAACAGTTTTCATATCCTTCACCTTGTCTATTGAAACAATTTCCGAGTCCCTGTCTTTGTCCATTGACAAGAATTTCCGCGTCAAACATCTTTTTGGGTGCCACAACACTTGACCAAGTAAACACATACAGTCCGTCAGATGGCGCTGTGAACAGTCCCGTGTGATTATTGTATGCATTGCCATGGTTGAAGTATAAACCATCGTAAACAACATTAACGGGGCTACCATGAAATTCTAGCCTTTTGGTAATGTATGCATTAAATGCAATATATTTAGCTGCAATATTTAAAAAGAGTATCCGTTAGTATATTACTACTATTATGTTTCTTTCATGATTGTTTACGATTTCCTTCATTACTAGAAAGAAATAAGCTAAATTGACAAATTACCTTTGTAAACAATATGCTGAAAAGTGGGGTGGAGATTCTGGAAATAAATTCTACCTGCTCATTAATGTCATTTGTTTTACCTTTAAAAACGTGTTCCTATACAAATCTATACGCAAAAAGTCTAACATTTTTAATGTTTTGCTGAGCGGGCATAAAAAATCAATGTTTGACCGCCGAGTGAGATGTTGGACCGCTTACATTATAGATTGGGCGGAGCTTATTAATAATCTTATTTTCATTCGTTGGTGTTCAACAGTGACCAGCGGCCTGAGATACAACATGTATAGTGATTGAATAATCCAACACAGGATACCAAAGTAATGATTAAGAACTTTTTTTTAAATATTTCATTTCCCAGAAACCGTGACTCAATGTTTTGACGTACGGAATATTTCTTTAAATCACAACAAAGGTTTCTGGTAGAGAAATAGTTGAATATATATACCATCTCGTACTTAACATTACCTGGAACAAGGACACCTTATCTCGAAAGTTAATCAATGGCAATTTTGTCATTTTTTACATTTGTAGTTAAATTCTTTATATGTTAAAAAAGTTGTGTGTTATATCTTTTAATCAAATAAACTTTTTGAAAAGTATTTTGCATGCCCATCATAAGGTGAGTAAAAACTCATGCTGAGAGAACCTATCAATTTTTATTCATAAGATAAACAGATATAAAGATTTGCATTTATAAATTATAATCCTTGTTAAACACCACCTACAGTGACTTTTTCAACATTTACCGAAGAATAGTTATTAAACAGCTATCAGGAAATTAAAAATAACCAAAAAGTACATGTACCTTTTGAATTGTTTTTAAGATTCTTGATACAGCGGTATTTGACCTCCAAATATTTAGAGAAAGTAGGACAAGGGTCTCCAAAGTCCTGTTTAGCAGCGTGAAGGTGACATGTCTTGTACCCATTGCAGTTCCATTTTGTCTTAATTTCAGACATCTTTGAACGACACGTATGTGTTTTTTGCTACCAGTAGGACATATGTTTTCGTCTAGTCGTCCGTAGTTAGCTGATAAAATCTGGATCTTGGTTCCATTTGCACAGCCGATAAAACCTCTTTGACCATCACAGAGAGCAAAAGTCTGGTCTGAAAAAGAAAACATTATCTCGCACTGTTTTTTTTATTAAATGAATTACATATAGTTCTGGATCATGAAATTTAGAATTTTTTATTACCTGATGTTATCACATTTCTGATGCATGAAAACAGAAATAAAATACTAACACTTGGAAAATGTATCATCTTTGTTTCTGCAAAAATAATTGGTAAGTATAATCAGCATATAAGTAGTGTGAGTTGAAATTGTAAAAATTCAACTGATACGTATTTATAAATAAGATATCCATTATCAGATGTAACATATGTGACTTTTTAATAGATATAATGAAAACAGTCACGGAATATTATCACAAATAAAAAACAAACCCAAAATTTTCATGTTTACGCCTTTTTTTTTTTAAATTGAAAATCTGTTTCTCTGAAATATACTAGTAATTGGCAAGTGTGATATCAACAACTTTTTTTCGCCACTTTGGCCTTCTAAAACGAATGCATTCAGATCAAAGAGTTAGTTCTGAATCTACATCCATTACAGAAATAGAACGATCATGAACAAAATCATGTTAGTACCATACTGATGGTACATGTAATGGTTTTTACAAAGAATTACTTCAGATGTTGGGAATGTAAACAACAGAGCAAAAGCAGAACTGAAAGGAAACTAGTGCAAAGAGCAGAAGATCATGCTGCCTCATTATTAAGACAGACGACCCTAGATTTATGTTCTTCTTTCTAATCACGACAACCCCGGCACCGTACACATATATAGAACTTGAATCAAACACTTACTCACCAAGAAACGGCCAATCAATAGCTTTATCATAGCAAACAGTCAATTCGAATGATCTATCATGATTAGAAAAATAATTGTTACAAATGTACTAGTCTTGATGTTCAGAAAAGTATTTTAAAACTTGTGTAGTACATACACGTACTGTTTTTAATAGGTTGCATGCTAAGTATATTCATGTCTCATGGCATGCGTCCTCCGGGGCACGGAGAGGAGAAGTAAGTATGCTAAATATATAAATGTATTACTATAGTATGCATGACAAATGATTTAACAAAATCTAGACAACAAGAGTTACTTCATTAACAGAAAATTATGTTTAAAATAATTACAAAAATATAATACAATGTACCATACTCTTTAAAAGACTGACTTAAAATGAACACAACACTGAAGATTAATCAAATGACCTTCCGGTGACCCCGCCTTTTATTACTGCGCATAGCCACTCAAACACGAACTGTTATCAAACAAAACTAAGTCCCATGCTTTTGAGGAGTTGACCAAAGTCACAAGAAAGGTATGTTCATTATAAGTTTAATTGATACATAGAGTAACAAGAAAAAAACACATTGATGTACGGCGATTTTAATCTAGCATATCATAGTACCATACCCGATATGGTTCGATGTTTATCATTTTTTAACGGTATTCACACAAGTCTGAAGAGGTATCAATTCAAGATGACGTTTTTCGAATATAGTTCACTAATAAGCTCACTGTAAATGATTGTCCTTGGCTTGTCCATCTCGTAATTGTGTTCGGACAAGTTTATGCACACGTCTTCAAATATTATTTTTCTTTAAACTTTTATTCAGGTGTTATTGGAATACCTCCAAATTTGACATGAGAATTTTCAAAATCCTAAAATATTATCTGTGTAAAGCTGTATCAATTAGATAATTTATTTAATGACTTTTTATACAGTAATCCTTTTTAGGACATTGAGAAAATTATATGACATAAAGGAGCAAACAGACAGAAAAAATGTCTAGTTCATTAGCTCACCTCAACGAAGTTGCAGGATTCATTTCCAAGTAACTATAAGCTCTTTAATGACAAAACTTGCATGGATGATACATCTAGGGATGCATTCTAGGGATGTGAAGATTGTAAATTTTTATGCAGGTTTCATTTCCAAGTAACTATGAGCCCTATGTTGTGCAAATCTTCATGGATGATACATCTTAGGATACATCTAATGGACTTATTCGGATGCTGAATTTGACACACATTTTCCAGATAATGGACCTGGTAAAAGTTATCGGTGCAGGTCTATTACAAAGAAACTATAAGGCTTATATAAACCAAACTTGCACAAATGATTGCATCAAGGGGGTGAAAACTCTCAAACTTGCTTCAGATGCTGGATTTTAATTATGTTAACTAGCTTGAGGTTTATAAATAGGTCTATTCAAAAGTATCAGATCAAAATTGCAAAAAATTTGCATTTTTGGATGTACACTCTCTGTTGGGTAGTTGTGTGACCCTGCCTTACTTAAAGACAACATTCGTTGAGGTGAGCTCTGTAATCTCTGATTACCTATGTTTTTTAACATCCGTTGCATGCTTTTATCGGAAAATTCTTCAAAGAAATACTTGTGAAGAAAATTCCTGTTTGTTTTCCCAAATGTAGAAAATATATCCATTGACGTTTACTATTACTCTATTTTAGTTAAATAAAACATATACGTAAAGAATACTTAAATTGATTACAATTAATATGCAATACAGTGCGTATTGTGAGTTACATACAAGAAATCTGAAATTAGTGTGTAGTAGCGAGGGTCACCTGTTAGGCATCATCTAAAACAAAGACTGTGATGAGAACAACACACAACTTAGATTCAATTCCATCTCAAACGAAGTTAGCCTTAAGCAGAACGTACTAACAAATTGAAAAAATAACATATCGAGACAATTGTATCATGCATTTAAGATTTTATACGTACTTCTACATGTATTTTGTTTTGCGGATGTTCTTACGGCGCTCTCACTCTCAAAATACAAGTATAGATTGAATTAGGCTCCAGGGCTTTATCTTAGGAATACTTGTAAAATAAAGATTAAATTTTCTCTGAACATATAGTTAATTATCACAGTTTTAAAGCTTATCTCTATATTTTCTTAGTTTAAAAAAGTCTTGATTAACAGAAAAGAACAATTTAAATGTACAAAATGAAAGGAACGACAAATAGAAGACAGAATTCCTGAAATGTGACACTGGATTTATCATACTGTATTCAAAATAATTAACTTTGTATCTCGTATGCTATATAAATATACCAAATTCAAACTATTGATTTTCATTTTAGACAACCAAGGATTGTGGAGTACCATGGAGCACGTTCCTAAATTGTCGAAAGCTGACGAAGTAAGCACTGCACAGGTTTTGATTCCTTGCTTTCTTTGTCCGAACAAGGCTGAACTCATCTGCAACACGTGCAAATTCAATCTATGTACTGCATGTGCTGGGCAGCATGTAATATCTTTGCCTTCTCAAAATCACGAAGTAATCAAGTATTCTATGAAATATAAATTTTTCCCGCAGCCATATTGTTTTACTCATTCCAAACAGAGATGTGAAATTCACTGTCAGCAGTGCAACATTCCCATCTGCAGTGATTGTATCGTATCCAAGGTCCACGCTGAACACGAGCTGAGTAAGATAAACGAAGTATATGCTGTTAAGGAGAAAACCATTTACAATGAAATAGAATTTTTAAAAGGTGTTATTGCTCCAGAATTGAAAAATATCATCCAAAAGATAGAAAAAGACATTTTGGAACTGCCAAAAAACAGCCTCAAATTGAAATCAGATGTCACTAGGCACGGCGAGGAACTACAGAGAACTGTGGAACGCGCGATCAAAAAGCAACTTGAAAATATTGATGCTGCAGAGAAACAAGATTTGGATAAACTCGAGAAAAATTTATCCGAGTTTAAAAAACTTTTGGAAAAAATCCATGATATCATTAAGAGGAATGAAGAAATAATTGCAACAAGGACTGATCAAATTTTCAGTTTTGAATCGCAGCTAGAAGCAATGAAACAGTTTCCTCAGAAACTCTACGTTTCATTTGGCCAATTCCAGCCAGCAACAGCACCTATGATCGAGGACTGCAAGTTGATGGGGAAACTACAGTCATCGACTTATAAATACAAGATAGAAATAGACTGGGTAAGCAGATTTCATGCTTTTAGCAGTTTTCTTGTTGCATCCTCGATCATCACTAACATAGACACGGAATGCAGCCCTCTATACCGAGTTAGTTGTGTGACAAAGGAGGTGGCTTGGATAAGTGGAAATGATGACACACTGAGAGAAATCACATCCTCGGGGCTCGTGCTTAAAAAATTGACCTCGCAAGGAAGTATTCCATTTGGAATGGCAACAACCAGAAAAGGGGAACTTCTTTTCACAGATTACAGTGATAAATGCGTCAAGATGATAAACGATGACAAAGTGAAGACCATTATTAGGTGTGTTTGGATACCATCGGGTATTTGTGTATCCCCCTCAGGAGATAAATTTGTCGCATTATGCAATGACAGAATTTCAAATCTGCAATTCACAGTCATGCAGTATTCCGGTGGTATCGTTAAACATACATTCCAGTTTGACGAACAGAAACAGAACTTGTTTGCTACTGAGGGGCCTTATAAATGCCTTCAGATTGCACTGAACACGAATGGCGATCTCTGTATTGTGGACTGGAATGGAGCCGCAGTGATCATCTTAAATCAAGGAGGGGGTCTCAAGGCAAAATATTGCTGCAAAACAAACCCACAACTTCCAGAGGGCTTTTCACCACGTTATATTGCCACGGACAGTCTTAGTCACATTTTAGTGTCAGATACAAACAACAGTTGTATTCACATTTTGGATTCTGAGGATGTTCCTATGACTGTGCTCAAGTATGGTCTAGTCCGTCCTGCTGGAATAAGCATTGATAGCGATAACAACCTCTGGGTGACTGAACAGGCTGGAAAATTGAAGATCCTCAAGTTTTTGAAGTAGATACTTTAATTACGCATCAAATGTTTAAAAAAGTACTTTGAATATTGAATCTTTTTTTGTATTCTTGTTCCTATCTTATATAAAAAAAGATTTGTTTGTGAAACACTTATTTCCCCGTATGGCAGCTCATGGCGAAGTTAAAATTTTCTCAAATGCAAGTCAAACTCAAAGGTCAAGATCAACATTGTTTGTATCAAAAGAAACACCTTTTCACAAAGAATTTACCTGTGAAATATGAAAACCCTATTACTGACTGTTCAAAAGTTGGAACCAAGGTTCAAGTTTTTTACAAAGTGGGTAAAACTCTTATGTAAAGATCAAATTTTTTTCCTATACTCGGCACTCAAGGCCATTGATCTGAGCAGGGAGAGATCTTTTTCGTGTCATCACCTACTGCTCGATTTTTACGGGACCTCGGTTTTTACAGTCTCATCCAAAGTACCGGTCTCCAAGTCCAACAGTTGGATTCGAACCCGCGACCTAAGGATCAACTCCTAACTTCGCGACTCTAGAGCTGAGGATCTAACCACTGCGCCACGCGGGCAACTATTTATAATGGAAAGGTCTTGTCAAAATCAGTACAGATGTGAAATATAAAACCCTAGCACCCACTGTTCAGAAGTTATGATCAAGGTTAAAGTTTGTTTTTATGCCCCCTATAATCGAAGAATCGGGGGTATATAGTTTTTGTCCCGTGTCCGTCCTTTTGTCTGTCTGTCTGTCTTTCTGTTTGTCAGCAAAAGCTTTAACTTTCCCAAAATTTTTGAGTTAGTAAAGCTATGACTTTCATATTTCACACGTGTATTTCTTTTGACAAGACCTTTCTTAAGGTACCACCAAATTTGACCTTTTTACCTTGACCTTGGAGCTTGACACACTTTTACACAAAAATTCCAAACTTTAACTTTGGATATAACTTTTGAACTGTAGATACTTGGACTTTCATACTTCACATACAAGTATGTATTCTTTGTGACAAGACCGTCCTTTGGATACCAACAACTTTGACCCCTTGACCTTGGAGATTATCGTTATTTAAGAAAAATACTTTAACTTCGGCTATAAATTTTGAACGGTATGGGCTAGGGATTTCGTACTTCACATAGTTAATTCTTGTAAAAAGACCTGTCGTTGGATACCAACAACTTTGCCCCTGTGACCTTGGCATTTGACCCTCCTTTTTTAAAATCTTTAACCTTGGCCACAACATTTAAACGTTCAGGGCTAGGGCTTTCATACCTCACACATGTAATTCTTGTGGCAATATCTTTCTTTAGAAACAACAGCTTTGATCCTTTGACATTGACCTTGACCCTGGAGTTTGACCTACCTAACTTATCCTTGGCCATAACTTTTGAACAGGTGGTGCTAGCTAGGGCTTTTATATTTCACAATTGTATATTTTGTGAGAAGACCTTACTTTTAGGTAACAACATATTTGATTTACATTTAAGAAAAGTTTGATGTTCGCTATGATGTCATACGGTGGCGTCAGTGTTTCACAAACACATGTTTTTTGTTGTTGTTTTTTTTGTAAAAGTGATTAAAACTCCAAGGTCAAATTTGGTAACCAGAGAAAGGTTTTGTCACAAGGAACATACCTATGAAATATGAAAACCATAGCCTTACCCAGTCAAAAGTTAAAGATAAGATTTAATTTTTTGCAGACAAACAGACAGGTAGATAAATAGACAAAAAACAGATAGAAGGACAGGACAAATACTATATACCCCCGAATATTTGTTGAGGTTAGCTCTGTAATTTCTTATTTCCTATGTTTATATATATATATATTATATATATATATATATATATATATATATATATATATATATATATATATATATATATATATATATATATATATATATATATATATATATATATATATATATATATATATATATATATATATATATATATTAATAGAACAGAACTCCGTGAAATGTGTACTTCCTAGATACTCAGTACCTCTCGGGCAGTTTCGTTGTCAATAAGCCTGCCTTAGAAATATCGATGCTGCATTTTATTTCCGACATTTCATGTTTTCATTTCCGCCATTTTTTATTTTCATTTCCAAAAATTATAGCCCCGTGGGGATCCGGGTAAGAATAGGTCCTCAGTACCCCCTTGCTTGTCGTAAAAGGCGACTAAATGGGGCGGTCCTTCGGATGAGACCGTATAAACCGAGGCCCCGTGTCACAGCAGGTGTGGCACGATAAAGATCCCTCCCTGCTCAATGGCCCTGAGTGCCGAACATAGGCCTAAATTTGCAGCCCTTCACCGGCAATGGTGACGTCTCCATATCAGTGAAATATTCTGGAGAGGACGTAAAACAGTATAAAATCAATCAATCAATCCAAAAATTATACTTTTCCATTTCCGGAATTTTAGAGGGTATCTTCCTGTCAATCCAAAGCAAGGTCTTGTCACAAGGAAAATAAATGTACCTCTGAAGTATGAAAACCTTAGTTATTGCCACGGTTAAAGTTTTGAAATTTTTGGGTAAAATTGAGTCAAACTCCAAGGTCAAAAAGTCACATTTGTGGTATCCTTAGAAAGGTATTGTCACAAGGAATACACCTGTGAAATATGAAAGCCATAGCCCCACTACTAGTAACTCAAAAGTAATTGGTAATTTCGTTGACAAACAAACAGACAGACAGACGGACAGGACAAAAACCAATCTCTCACCAAAGGGCGTATTACGCTTCGCTATAACACCTCTGTCAATGTCTAAATGCCAAGATTCTTGGCAAAACTTACTACAAAACTTACTTTTATTTATTGCATCATAAATTATATTTATAAAACATTTATATTCTTGCTTTAAATCTTAAGGTACATCAATAATCTGTTTAGAGAACTTTTAATGACAAAAATGTCAATTACAGTACTCCTTTATAAATCTGTCAAGTTGAAGTGTCTTTTTTATCCAATTTTGCCTCACAATCTATGCTATAATTGTTTGAATTTTACTAAGCATTTTCATTTCCTTTGTAAAATCATAAGAGTTATGAGGGTTTATGAACCTTAAATAAAGGTTTATTTATTAGAATAAATAACAGATAACGCCTTTTCACCATATCTTTCAAGTGATTATTTTTAAAGACAAACAAGTTGCAGCATTGACACATCTTACCTTAACCTTAATTCCCTCCGTGCCAGGAGGCACATAAGGCCTGGACATCTCTTTTCCACTGGGGCCGGTATGAGGCTGCACGGTGTGCCATGTTCCAGGAGTTCCAAACAGCATTGTGTCGCTCCACCTTTACCATCCGTCGCCATGTTGTCTTGGGATAACCACGCTTCCTTCTCCCTTCAGGCATCCACCCGAGGGCCACAAGACAGTTATCCGTGGGATCCTTTCTAGGACATGGCCGATCCAATTCCATTTCATCCTCACCTCGCCACTGCTTCTACCATCTCCAGAACTATCTTGTTTTTGGATATGCAGCTGCCCTCTGACCTTAAGAAGGATCCTTCTGAGGCACTTACGAGAAGTGCGAAAGATGTCAATCTTCTTTTCCTCTGTCTTGGTAAGCTTCCAGGCCTCACATCCGAATAATAATACAGAGAGGACCAGGCTCTTTGAAAGGGAGACTTTTATCTTTTTACTGATGTCTATAGTATTCCAGATGTTGGCTAGCCTCCTGAAGGATGCACCGGCCAGTGCTATCCTCTTCCTGATGTCAGCAGTTCCTCCTCCATCCTTGGTGACATTGGCGCCGAGGTAGGTAAAGCTGTCCACCTTGTCGGCTTTAACTGTCAGGCTGATTTCACTCTTTCTATTTATCTCTATGACTTTGCACTTCCTGGCATTCAGCTTCAACCCAACTTTTGCGGAATTTTCTTATAGTTGTGTTGCCTTAGACTGAAGATGGTTCATTGCTGATGACAATAGGGCAATATCGTCCGCAAAGTCGAGGTCTTTAAGCATAGTGGTGAAGTCCCATCTAATTCCTATTCTATTTTCTCTGACAATCTGTTGCATCACTCAGTCTGTCACTAAGTGGAACAAGAAGCCTGGCATGCAGCATCCTTGTTTGACACCAGTCATCACAGGAAAAGGGACTGTGGTCTCATTGTCATCAATCACAAAGCACTGAAACTTCTCATACAGGGCTTTGATTATCATAATCATTTTTGGGGGTATTCCATATTTCTTCACGATGACCCAAAGGCTGTCTCTGTGCACCGAGTCGAAAGCTTTCTCAAAGTCCACAAAATGGATGTACAGTATTGCATTTCACTCGTTGACTTGCTCTAGGATGTTCCTGAGTATGAAGATCTGGTTGACAGTCTCTCTTCCTCTCCGGATCCTGCCTGCTCTTTCCTCAGGGTGCGGTCAACTCCAGCCTGTATTCTGTTAATGATGGTCCTGCTGAGTGCTTTACTGGCTAGGAGCAGCAATGTGACTCTCCTCCAGTTGGTGCAGTTCTGTAGGTTGCGTCTCTTGAGAATTTTACAGATCAGTCCGCTGGTCCATTCCTTGGGCACCTTTTCCTCCTTCCATATCTGGTCAAATGTTAGTCCGAAAAATCGGACGTTTTCCTGGCTTTTTTTTACGATTTTTATATTTTACATGCCAGGAAAACGTCAGATTTTTCGGACTAGTCAAATGTGTGCTTCAGATCCTGGCAGCTCTTCTCTCTTATCATGTTCATCTTGTGGTGGTGACTCTTGAGTGTCTCTGTACTTTTAAGTACTTCCTTAAAATGTTTCCCACCATTTGGCTATTCATATTTGCTCTTCACAGCTGCTGTTTGTTTACTTCTCTTTCTTGTCAGCTGTTTTACTATGCTGTACAGTTCCTTCTGCCTTTAGCATTGACACAAACGAGATAGAAATGCAAAGGTGTTAATCTTCTTGTGGGCCATTTTAAAACAACATGGTTAAAGATTGGACAAAAACTACTGGTATATACCCTCAATTCTTCGATTACGGAGGTACATTTCCTTTTTCTGATGAACCAAACGGGTTTTCGTAAAAACGTAAAC